GCCAATCTGACAGAACAAACTTCTTTTTACAGCTTCTTGAAACTATTGATTTATGTAAAACATTTTGAGGCATTAAAATCATAAATTATATATTATAATTTTATGTTAAGGGTCAAAATAAAGTGGTACATAATCCAAAGGTGGAAGGAAAACAATACATAATAAAGACATTTTGGTTTGGAAGTAAAAATCTGATTATTGTGAAGGTTTTTTTTCACATCCAAGCTGACATGCTTTATAGAACTACCAATGACTGAAATTATACAGGTTTTGTACATGTACATCTATGCATTTTTTTGTTGAGAGGATTTGCTTATTGTCTGTTCTTAGCAAAATAGTGAAGCTTGATCAAACTGGTACAGCTTTTTAAGAGCATTTATGAATTTTCAATCAATTTCAAGTCTTTTCAAAGATTTTCAAATGGTTTCCGACTATGTTGCTCTAACAATAATATGATCTAATCTAAACCATTCCTAGATCTTTTAGGTCATTGTCCTGCTGGGAACTTTGATTTGATAACAGGAATTGAAATGTATTGATCTCATATTGGAGATATTTTCCTCTGCATTTAACCCATCTCCTTGGGGAGCAGTGGGCTGCCATCATGTTGCACTTGGGGAGCAGTGTGGGGTTAAGAGTCTTGCTAAAGGACCCAGACTGGACCCAGACCCAAGCTGCATTGAACCAGTTACTTGCAACCTTCTCAGAGTCCCCTTTAGTTTCCCATACAATGACACTGCCAGCAATGTGTTTCACTGTGGAGCTACTCAGCTCTGGATGTTCAATTTCTAGGCCAAAATAGTTAACTACTTTTATCAATTGACTGGAACATCTTCTCTTTCATTTTTGGGACATTCGTAACACATCTTCTCACTCCGGTAAAGGCCATATTTGTGGGATTCATCGACAGTTTATGACATTTTCAAATGTTACGATAATGATTTCTAACCCACATCTGTTTTTAAATTCTCTGTCGTTGTATCCTTGATGTGTCTGCTGTGTTCCTTGGTCTTCTGCATGCCAAAAAGGCCTTAGCGTTCTCTAACAAACCTTTATGAAATACATTCCTAATAAAGGACATTGAAATCTGTGGTTGTAATGCGAAAAAATGTGAAAAGGTTGAAATTGGGTCAATAGTTTTGCAAATGTTTTGAATGATATTCAAACCAAAAAGTGTAAAATGCAAAAACACCAAAAAAATCCCTCAATGATGCAGAGACAGTTTTGCAGAATTGGTACCAAAAAAGAGCAGCTAATAGTTTTAAAATATAACACAGTAGATGAAGAACACTTATAGAGTGGATCCGCTTTCGATCACTGCTTATTTTTACCTCCACGCTCACAACCAGACACATCATTAAGAGGAACAGTTTATAAAAGATCATCCTATGACCCTGCTTCTGGTTTCAGTTGAAGATGTGGAGCAGTTCCTTTGAAGCATTTATCCGAAATAAACATTTAAGTGGGTACAGAGAGGAGTTGACTCCCACGTTTCAGTGTTCAACCTGAAACCTTTCACTTCTTTCTTTCTCACAGATACTCTCCTGGTCTGAAATCAGGAAGCTTTCTGAGAAATGTTCACCTCCACCTACTGCAGCCTTTTCGCTTCTCCCTCTCTTTTCACTCTGCTCAAAGCTTGTTTTTCTTTTGCACTTATAGAAGTACTGTCTAAACTTCTTACTCCAAAACATATCAAAATTGTCTTTCTGACTAAAATAACTATTAATAAACTCTACAGTGATGTAGGTGGCATCTTCAACGCTATCTCTTAGTGTCATTTTGTAGATGTTGGATGAAAACAGTGATTAGAGTCAAAGGGGAACTGTCTCACTTCTGCATGGCATTCAAAACAGTTCCAAACAATACAGTTCATAACATCATCCAGCTATTCCTGGTAATTAGTTTGCTGCTTATCAGTTAGAATCTGTAGTCTTAACATAAGTTAAAAGATAAAATTGCTGCTTCTGACTGACAGAGAGGCAAAACAGATTACCACTTAATCTTTTATTCTGTCTTTCCAGAAAATATCAAATGATTGGAAATACCGACTTTTACCTTTAATCAATTCTTGAAAAAATATAAAAGATGAACAACTTCTACTTTATAATACATGCTCAAATATCTCAGCATCGCTGCTAAAGCACAGCATCCAGATTTGCATCTTTGCAAGATTGCATTAGTAGCTTTTGAAATAATTTTGAAGGGCATCATGACATTGTGAGTATCGATTAAAGCGGAGAATAAATAAGTTGTATTTCAAAGATACGCAAAATATTAATGTGCTAAAGGTAGTATTCCAAATGCAAGGTGCATAATAACGAGTTATTTTTTCCCCCCAGTTTTTGAGCTGCTATAAAGTAAATTAAAGTTTTCTGTCTCAGAGGCTGGATTCCCTCTGCTGTGCTGTCCTTTTCACCCCTCCTGCTTGAGTAGCTCTAAGCAGAGACCCCAGCCCGTTTGCCAATCTCTGCATCCCAAACAAACCATTAAAAGTGTAGCCCCTCCTCATGTGCCAGTGTGTGCCATGCGAGTGTCCCCTGTCAGGATGCAGGGAAGCCTGTGTGCAACTTACCAGCTGAATGACTTGTTTTTTTTTTTCTCTATGATGCTTTGGGCTGAAGTGCTGTTGCTGCTCTTGTTGCTGTTGTACCTGAGCCCGAGTGCTCTTCCTCTTACTCGCTCCACAGCTCTCCTGACAATGAGCCGCCCGTCCACGGATAGCATTTGAAGTGACTTAAGAAAGAGAACAGGAACAATCACTTTGTTCTCATTTTTCAGATGAGTACCTTCGGAGAGAAGGAAGGAAGGGAGGGGAGAGGAAGTCAACAAGCCTAGTGCCTTCCTGCAGAAAAATAAGGAAACACTAGATAGACATCTGCATTTCTCTATGAAATAGGGATTTGCACAGGTTTTCGGAGGAACTTTAGGAGGAAAGTTGATGTTACGCTGGTAAACAACGCCGTCTGAATTGTTAAGCATTGTGAGGCAACATGCAATAATTGTCAACACTTTCCTTCAAATATTCTGATCTTTTTTCTTCAATGTTTTTTTATTCACTATGAATATATTAGGGGTAATGTAAAGGTTTATATTGAGGTAAAATCCCCTTCCTTGCAAAAGTATTCATACGCCTAACCTTTTTTTTTTTTTTTATAAGATTTTTATGACAGACTAACCCTAAGCAGCAAATTATTGTAAGGTAGAAGAGAATTGATCACCGTTTTCACTTTATTTGTCATGCAAAAAGGAACAATATGCATTCAGGTCAATATTTTAAAGAAACACTGTCACTGTCATTATAGATGCATTCTTCTTTCCCAGGTAGCCAAAGCTCATGCTTATCAAAATGTTTTGATCTAGACCAAAATGCAATCCTGGACGGCTGCTTTTCTGCAGCTTTCATAATGAATTGTTCTTTAACATATCTAAATAAACTGGCTAAGTCCTCTCATTTGTATGCCATTTGGTCTAGTAATCTAAAAGCTCCAGGATAGTACTTTGGCATCCCTGCTCTAAATTATCCCACCCATGGCTGGATCGTCCTGTTATAAGATGAATCTCCCACCAGTTTCAGGTCTATTGCAGTATAAAACATGTTGATTTCCAAATTTATCAAAGATTTTATTATATCCAGATTCCTATCAATATCTCAGTGTTTGCTTAAGAAAAGCATGCCCACAGCATATTTGTACCACTACCGTGTTTTATCAGGGGATATACGAGTACAAAATGCTGAAAAGTGTTGGTTTTCTAAGTGTTTACCTGCAAACAGTTGAATTTGGTCTCATATGACCAGAGTCCTTTCATCCTAAAGAGTCCTATGTCCAACATATAGTAGAAAACTTCAAACAGAATCCCTATTGGCTGTTTTTATAGCCACTGATTCATAAATGCCATATTCATCAGTCGGTATTGTGTCATATGGGGTCTACTTCTAAAGGGCGTTGTTTTCAATTATTTGATTTAAGGGAGTGAATTAACCAAAGTACAAACATAGAGCTGAAGGATTATTACCGTAATACTTTAGCATGTAGTTGTAAGTTGTTAAAGCAAAATAATATGAAATCCATGAGCTTTCTTCAGCAAAGACCGGATTTTAAATGCTTTGTTTGATGTGTTCTGGTACCTGATTGGACTACATTGGCCTTTTTCCCCCCTCAGCAAAGAAGAAGGGTTTTTCCTTTATTTTGTCCAACCTTTTGCAAAATTGATCATTGAAGCAATCATTATAAATAACATACAGTCACCAAGAGGCAAAAAAAAACAAAAATAATAGTTGCTCCATTAATTTGTTTCTGCTAAGAAAATAACTTCTGACAAAAAGAGTCGGCTGAAATGAAGTGACTTCAGCGCAAAGGTGGAATAATGGAGCTCATATCATTGTTGAAATGTTGCCGATTTCTGTGGGATGCAGCTGGCCATTAAATGTGTTAATTAGCTCATAATAGAAAATTAACCTCAGATCCTGGACAATGTGTGCATCAATTCCTCTGAAGAATTAAGGACTTAAAGGAAAGTTAACATTTTTTAAGATTTGTCGTCATCAGAACAGTGATGCTCCAAAGCAAACATGATCACTGAACCAACAGGGCATCTCAGAAGTCTGAGTTTTAAGCCCAGGGGCCTTCTGATTGCCTACAAGTCTACTTTCTTATGTCAGGAGCTTAGTAAATTACCCTGAATCTGAACCACCTTCTAATGAAGTATATCACAGTTCTCCAGCTCACGTGGTCACTAATAATTTGAATAATTTAATCCGAGCACATTAATCTTGACCTCTCCGATGGTTATTGTGATCTCTAACATGCACGGTCACACTCCTCCAGACCTTCTGTAATGAACTACAGCAAAGACACGTAAAACCGGGCAGAGTGACGACCTGTCTGACCCTTTCTTCCTCTCATCTTTGCATCCAAAGCATATTCATTAAAGATTTTTAAATGGCTTTTGGCTTTCAGGGTCACTTTCAAAAGTTACTGTGGAGTATATATAAGACCTGTGAACCCAAAAGCAAAGACAAAGACCACAGCAGTCACATCTGAGCAACTGAAAGCAGAACTTGAAGCAACAAGTGAGTGTAGCAGACTCCATTTTCTGCGTTTAAACAGCCTTTATTTTTTATCAGAAATGTCTGGATCTGCCATGTTCGTGGGCCTGTTTTTCCTCCTGTCTGTTTGTTCGGCGTGTTATATCTCCAACTGCCCAATCGGTGGAAAGAGGTCAATCATGGATGCACCCCTTCGCAAGGTTGGTTGCTTTTATCCACCTTTGATTTTAATTTTGATTAAGTCAAACCTTCAGAAAGGTTTTTGAGTGACCTTTTTGAAAAATTAAGAATGCCTCGGCCATCAAAACTGACTAACAAAAACATGTAAATAACAAAACATCAAATGCAAATCAGAAAAGATCATAATTTGTATCCATATAAAAGTTTAGGAAAGAGTTGAGTTTAAATTTGAAATAGGAGATTAACATTATTCAGATCATGAAGACCCTTTTTAACTAGAGCTTGAATAAGTGATCAAATTTAGAAATTAACTGCATCCAACTGAATTAAGTAATAACAAGATATCAAAATAAAATATATAATTTCTTTCTTTCTCTATAGTGCATGTCCTGTGGCCCTGGGGACAGAGGCCGCTGCTTCGGCCCCAGCATCTGCTGCGGGGAGGGTCTCGGCTGCCTGATGGGTTCACCTGAGTCGGCTCACTGCATAGAGGAGAACTATCTGCTCACTCCCTGTCAGGCAGGAGGTCGACCCTGTGGTTCAGAGGGAGGACGCTGTGCTGCTTCTGGACTCTGCTGTGATGCAGGTCAGAATATTACAAAACAGGGTCACAGATAAGAAGATATGAAGGAACCCTTTTCAGGCATGAACTATGATAGAAATACTCAGGGTTTTATTTATTATTATCATTTTTTTTATCACACATTTTTAAGTTCATTCATTAAAGATGCATTTTCATCCATCTATCCATCCATGCACCTAACATAGTAAGATGTGTGCAAACAGAGACAATCAGCATAAACAACCATTCTCATGTCTGGACAAAAAAATTCTAAAACATATTGAGATTGAGAACAGAATTAAACAAGTATAATTATCTGACATATTTGACCCTTTTCTAATGTGTTTAAGGTAAAAACAATATTAAAAACAATCTCCATTGTTTCAGGATGTGCATGTAGTGCCATGTAGTTGACATGTAGTTTTGCTGCTGTATACCTACTTTAGACTTTAGACAGGTTTTATATGTCATTTTGTTTACACAAGTGTAAAACAAAAAGAAATTTCGTTTGGAAACAGCTCACTGGACAATTTAAGCTTTAAAAAGTGCAGCCTTGAACAATACGGTAGCAAAAATGACTGTAAATTTACAGTTCTAACATTTTTTTTTTTTATGTATATACTTGTGATGTCCTATACCTTTACAAGTAAACTAATCTAAAATATGTAGCTTTCATTATATAGAAAAACTGTCTAATAGGACCTGTATTGGTTAAAACTCACTTATGCACCATGTTCACATTGTGTGCAATAATTTAAACGACCAAAAAAAAAAAGATAAACTTACATTATCCCTAAATGATTCAGATATGTTAAGTTTTTTTGTTTTGTTTTTACCTGCAAGTACCTCAGTTTAGAAAAGGACGAGAAAAATAAAAAAACAGGTGCCCTGCATTTACATCTGATTGTCCCTAGTGTGGTTTTCAGTAAAATTGTCTCTTAACTTGCACTGGTTAGCCAGTAGGTGGCAGTGTATGAAGAAGAAAAACGTCTCAATTAAATTTGCTACAAGCAAATTCTGCCTTTTGACATTCAGATCCTTTTGTTACTCTTTCAAATTTTGGATTTGATTTAGTGACAAAATAGGACGCCTCTCAGTTTAGGTTCTCATTTGTTTTTTAATTCTTTACACAATTTATTAACATTCATGGGTGAAAAAGTGTCAGCTCACTTTTTATTATTCTGAAGATGAACTGTGAGGAGGAAACAGAGTGAAACTTCTAATATAAGGAAGAAAACCATTTTTTACGTGGTCACTGAAGAATTCACTTTGAATATTAATCTATAGTGTCCATGATGGTGTTAAAATGAACCCAATGATGCACATAAGTAGCTGTATGTTCTTGAACAGAATACAAGCATACTTCCTTTCTTCAATTTTGAGTTTGTTTCACTTCTCATATGAAAGATTTTTTTTTATATAGTTTTGGTAGACGGATGTTTAGTTTATATAAAATGGCCCACTACTGCTACTAAAGCATAAGTTGGTTTAGGTTACAGCTTTTCAGTTTAAATAAGGATTTTGCCTGTTGCTTTTTCAAGCTATATTCTAATGCATTTAGTAGGGGGAAAAAATCTGTTTAAAGAGACAGTTGATGTTCCAGTGCATAAAACTAATTAATTTAGAAGTTATAAACCAGCTTATGCTTTCTCTTTAAAATATCAACTGGTTGCATTAAGCTGGAAAGCTTCCTGTTTAATTTTATGTTTGTTTGGTTGTTTTTTCTCAAATTTGCAGGAGATTCTAGGAAAAGGTGCTTTTTCAGTGAAAGACTTCTGCATTAACTGCTGCATTTTTGCTCTTCTTCCACAGAGAGCTGCACTGCAGATCAGATGTGCCTCCCTGAGGATGACGGAGACAACCAAACAAGCCAGTATGAAGGTGGTGACCCCGGAGACATCATCCTCAGGCTCCTGCATCTGGCCAGCCACTCTTCTCACCGATCGCACCAATGAGCACCTCTGTCCTTGAAGGTTTCTCCGCAAGGACAAAAACAATGGGACTTGTAGTTCCTGCTGAATAGTTGTGTTGAATAGTCCATGTTTGTCGCCATTGTTTTCTCTTTCTCTTGGAGTGATTTGGTAGAGTGCCTTTGTCAATATATTTTAGTATGAAAACAGGGATAAATATGGACAGATCATCCTGATTCCTGCATGCTGAAATAAAGTTTAAGGAAAGTATAAAATGCCTCTGTGTCTTGTTTGCTGTGCATAACCTGAAGAAAGGAGTCAGCATTAGCCTTATCGGGTTCAGTGGTTGATTAAATTCTACTTTCAGAACTGCCCTTATCTTTCAGATCCTCACATGAGGCCTAGTGCAAATATCACCGCTGCAACTTTTAGGGTGATTATCTCATCACCTTTGAACCAGTTCTTCTCTTTGCTTAAAGTTTGACCTGTGCTCCATTTAAGAGTTAATGACAAAGAAACATGTTCAATTTAGAACCACAATAAAAGTAACGTTCTGAAACACAGATTGCAGAATAGTGAGGTTGTACTGTGCGAAATGGCAGGTTATATTAGTCTGCTCCAAGAAAAACCTCTTTCATCATCAATAATCTTATCTTGAAAAGTGACTTCATCTGAACCATGTACCTTTGAAATCAATTATGGAGCATAGGTTACACTTGAGTTGTGTGTCTGGTGCTTGTAGGAATATCTAAAGACACAAAAAATAAATTTGTTTTAGAACCAGATGTTGGAAGATGCATCTGGAAAATTGGAAGTAAAAACATTTTTATTTCTGTTTCATTGATTATGGCTCGACGCCAATAAAGACACAAAAGTTTACTTTTTCTGGGATCCAAGAAGGATCTGAATACTGAAATGTCAGCCTATCGAAACCTATGTCTTTGTACTGTACCGTACATGCAGTCGGTTCTTGATTAGTGCTTCATTTGAAAGGAAATTAATTACCTAAATGTAACATAGAACAAAAGTAATCAGCAATTGGTATGGTTGGGATGTAATGGAAGCACAGACCTCCTGCTGGCTTTCATTGTCTCATCATGTTAATCTTCATATTTTGCTGGCCAATCAGATACAATGTTACCATGGTTGTTAAAGTAGTTAATGCAAATTTTGGCAGTGTCAGAGGGTTTAAAGGTCCTGCTGAAAAAATTAAAATGGCGTCCCTGAGGAGTTTACCATATAAGTAAAAGTAGAAGAGCAATGAAACTTCCAAGTAGATGGTTGTACCGACTTTGGACTTGATAAAGCACAAAGGGCCGACACAGCAGATGACATAATCTGTCCAAAGCATCATGAGGTGCTTTTCCATTTGAAACACAAAACTTTTTCCATATTCTAATAGTACCACAAAACAACCATTAATATTAAAATGCAATTAAAACCACACAAGAATAAATGTGTTCAAATAACATTAAATAGCATTAAACAGACTTCTTTGTTCTTTCAGTCTTTTTTGTTATGATGTGGAAAAAGTCTCTCCATTGCTGCTTAGTGAAATACATTGATTTCAATTAATGGGAAACCCCTCAACTTGGTGAAACACCTTTTTATATATAAAGAAAACTTTTTTCAAGCTTCATTACAGGTATTTCAAGGTATTTATAACAATTTATGCAGATTTGATGGTTAAATGAAATGCGGCCAATAACTGCAGAACCGTAACCCTGGGCATAAAGGGATCAGATTCTGTTCTTCGTCCTCCATATTTTGACCTGGATTTTCCAAAATCAAATGCAACATCTGCATTCATGTGCCAAACAGTCCATTAATTTTTTTTGCCTTAGCCCACCTAAATGCTAAGGATCCAGGGGTGGCTAAACTTGAGTCCATGTCCAGAATGGCTTTGCTCCAACCTCTAAATTAAGTTTTCCTAATGCAATCCTTTTAAGGTTTCTGTAATTCTTCTTAATGGTGCAAAATTTTCTTTTCCAGATATTAATTTCTACTTAGCTACAATTTATTAGTATTTCCGCCAGAGTACCCTCAGTACCCTGCAAGGCAGCATTTAATGTTGACCTGCTTACCCTCCATGTAGAGGGACTCAGTGACTTTCTTTGATAAACATTTTATTTTCAGCTTTTCAAATAGAATTCCTTTAAAACTTTGTGAGTTTTCATTAACTCTGAATAAAACTCTCTAACTAAACAAAATGAAACATTCCCCTCTATGTAATGCAGCTATGAGTATCAACACATTCAGTCCTGTTAGAAGTTCTTGATTACTTACAGCACCAATTAAAGTGTGTTAATTGTGATCTTCAATCACATTTATTTGCTCAAAAGATTGTCTCGCATTTATTGTTTTCTATTGCTTACTAGGTTTAATTTAAGTTTTGCAAAATTCTTTCAGTCTGTATATGTCTCCTCAGGCTCTTATCTGCTGTGTTCGATGTGAGCACAGCTCCGAGCTGGTCTGACTCTGCCTAATTGGAGTCACCTGGGGTAAATCATTGATCTGCGTCTCTTTGAGAGCATACAAAAGGCAGGGCTCCTCATTCCTATCCACCTTTTCTGTCAGTCACCATGTCTTTTAATGGAAAATACCAGCTGGAGTCACAGGAGAACTTTGAGCCTTTCATGAAGGCTCTTGGTGAGTTGGTTCTTTAAGGAAAACAAATTCTATGCAAACGAGATGTATGGTCTCAGTCAGTTATGCGTTTCAGGTCTTCCTGATGAGCTCATCCAGAAAGGTAAAGACCTGAAAAGCATCTCTGAAATTGAGGAAAATGGGGACAATTACAAGGTGACTGTCACCACGGGGTCAAAAGTCATTACCAATTCCTTCACCATCGGAAAGGAGACAGAGCTGCAAAACATAACTGGAGAGAAGATGAAAGTAAGTGGATATTGCACTGAAATGAAAACTCCCTTTCCTGAAAACTCATTCTAATAAATTATTCCTCTCTATCTTAAAGGGAGTAGTGAATCGGGAGGGCGGTAAGCTGAAGGTTTCTCTTAAAGGAATTGAGTCTGTAACGGAAATGGTGGATGCCAACACGATCGTAAATGTAAGCTTCTAGAAATGTTTGTATCTTTCAATCAATTTCATTGGGCAACATTCTGAAGTTTAGCCTCTTTTCTTTGCAGACGATGACTGTTGGTGACATTGTTTACAAGAGAATAAGCAAACGCATGTAAATGTTTACACTTGGAATAATAAAAAAAACTTGAAAGCTGCAAGTTTCTTGGTCTCTTTTCTGAAGACATTGGGATGAGGGGGGGGCTTTTTTTTTTTTTTTTTTTGTCTAGACTTTAGACCACAGGTGTCAAAGTCGTTCCAGAAAGGGCCATGTGGCTGCTGGTTTTCTTTCCACCCAAGCAGTAGCACACCAGACTCCATTCATCTCATCAAGGTGAGTCTAGTCTTAACCTGATGACTTGATGGGATGCATGGAGTCTGGTGCGCTACTGCTTGGGTGGAAAACAAACCAGCAGCCACACGGCCCTTTCTGGAACGACTTTGAAACCCCTTCTTTAGACAAAGTCTAGAAAGCATTGCTCTTACAAATGACCTTTTAAAAACTTGCCTTTGGAAACGCAGCATGTTTCCAATGTCTACAAGCTTGAAGACAAACTCTAACCATGCATCTAGACTGCACTAGGTTGTGCCATTGTTGTGCACGGACTCAAATTGAAAGAACGGGCACATGCAGTGCTTTCACTATAAAGAGCACTTTAGCCCGCTATAGTGACAGAGCCCTGGCAGATTTGGATTTAAACTCTGTTCAAGGCTTGGGGTGATGGCAGCTTCAGTCTTGGCTTTACCTTTGAAGAAGGTAATACTGTTAAGAACAATAAAGGCTAGCTGGCAATTACCCATTTGAGCCAGTTCTTCTCTTTGCTTAAAGTTCGACCTGTTCTCCGTTTGAGTTAATGACAAATTTGTTCAATTTAGAACAACAAAAGTAAAGTTCTGAAATGCACTGCCGAATAGTGAGGTTGTACTGAGCGAAATGGCAGGTTATATTAGTCTGCTCCAAGATAACACTCTTTCATCATCAATCTTATCTTGAAAAGTGACTTCATCTGAACCATGTACCTTTGAAATCAAGTATGGAGCATAGGTTACACTTGATTTGTGTGTCTGGTGCTTGTAGCAATATCTGAAGACACAAATTTGTTTTAGAACCAGATGTTGGATGCATCTGGAAAATTGGAAGTAAACATTTTTATTTGTTTATGGCTTGATGCCAATAAAGACTCAAAAGTTAACTGTTTCTGGGAACCAAGAAGGATCTTAATACTGAAGTGTCAGCCTATCGAAACCTATGCCTAACCCCCAGATTCCACATACTGTCAGCGCTCTGCTCCGCCCCGCTGACGTACGTCGTGCGGAGTACTTGTCTTTCATGTAAATGAGAGCTGTTCCACATCACCGCTACTCCTCCGCACGTCGCCGTCCACGTACGTCTTCTCTGTCCGTCAACGACAAAATATGGAGACGAGCTATTTTTTGCTCCGGCCAGGTCAAGACCTGCAATTGCAATCACACCAAACAGGAAAAAGAACATCGATGTTCTGGTTCGTCAAATTAAAATATAGTGGCAACAGATCGGTAACTAGAAATTATAGCATAATTCTTATATATTCCAAAAAAACTAACACCATTTATTTAAATGATTGAATGCAAATTTGTTATTCACCCACCAGGAAGCAGATTCTCATCTCCATGAAAATATTTATTTTATACCGAGGGACTTAAAGTTTAATCAAATCCATTCAAAAGAAACTTCTTATTACAGGAATTGATGAAGATATGCTGAGTTTGGGAGTAGAGAACAAAGTTAATAAAAAAAAAGCAGTTTTGAATTATCCTAGTTATCCCCGTTACAAAAATCTACATAAAAAAAAATATATATTTGGGCAGAAACTGAACATATGCTGGATGATGGTGGGATTTTTTTAATATGACATAGTAAATTAAGCGCTCACAGGGTTCATACAGAAATGAGTGACTCTAATTTAATGCTATTTTAATGCTATTAGAAATTATTTTAATGCTATCAACAAGAACCATGTACACAAGTTATTAGTGTACATGAAATAT